CCACAGCCAACCAATCTTAAAGGGGGGATATTATGCAAAATTGACTTTTTGGAGCGTTATATCGTGTTATGTCGTTCCCTCACCAAAAACATACCCAGGGTGTTGCTTTGACTCATTCATGCATGTTTGAGAAATCCTTGAATTTACTGTGGTAGCCATGTGGAGCTGCTTAAACGCTTGCTGGTGCAAAGCACTGCATACTTAAACAAAGCTCCTCCCACAGCTCCAGCAGACTAGCAAAACATATCTTAAAAATGGTCTATGTTCATGATTTCATTGCAAAACATAGCATCATAATGCTAGGTTTTCTGGGGCGGCTGTGGCAGAGTGGTTAGGGGAGTTGTCCTGGAACCGGAAAGTCGCTGGTTCGATCCCCTGTCCAGCCGTCTCAGTCGTTGTGTCCTTGGGCAAGACACTTCACCCACCTTGCACACTAATGGTGGTCAGAGGGTCCGCTGGCGCTGGTGCATGGCAGCCCCACCTCTGTCAGTGTGCCCCAGGGCAGCTGTGGCTACAGTGTAGTTTGCCATCATCCGTGTGTGAATGTGAGTGTGAATGGGTGAATGTCTGTTAGTGTAAAGCGCTTTGGGGTCCGGAGGGACTTGAAAAGCRCTCTATAAGTTCAGTACCATAATGATCTATATTTATAGTTCCTTTGTAAAAAGTAGCTCAACACTGGTGTATATGTATGAGAAGATGACTAGGAAATATACTATATTACCAAGAAGAAATGCCTCTGTACTCCTTCAGAAAATGTACTTTTCTGGTCCAACGTTAAGGTTCAACCGTCTCCTGAGTTTTTATTTTCTAAAACTGATTTTAAATAATGTTGCTTCATTTTTTACTACAAAAAAACAGCAGTCCTACAAAAGTTTGTAAATGGCATGAAGCATTGTTGTAAAGACGTGCTGAAGTGGGAGTGTCAGAAACAGTAGGAGGTTCATAAAGAAACAGGCCAATTTCAGCGTGTTTAGATAGGCTATGAGGCAAAGTCAAATACATTTCTGATATATACAGCATTTTTATAACTGAAGGTAACATAGTTACTTGATTGTGGTGTAGAATTGAACTAAGTACCTGGAAAAAACACATAATACCCCCCCATTAAAAACTTTTCAAATGAAGCAACAACATCAAAATTGCCCCAGGTTTACCTGGGGTCTCCTGGGGCTTCCAATCAATGCTGCAGGTGGAGGGGAGGCAAAACTGGATCCCTGAAAACAAGGGAGTTGGGATGATGTTCAGACATGTGGGTGTGTTTGCCTGAACACACAATACAATCTGAAATGATTACAGAAGACTGGAAGCATCAACACCGTGTGGTCTAGGTCGCATTACACAGGGATGTCTGCACAATGCTTTTTTTCTGTTTTTCTCTTTCATTACAWAACAAAATCATCTTAAAATGATTTTTTTGGTAAAATGACAAATAGCTAAAACATCATTAAAGCTAAGTATTATTGGAGTCACTGTGGTTAAGCAGCACTTAGAGTAAAAAAGGCAATTTTGAAATAAAAAACACACGAGGAATGAACAGTTCTACAAACCGTTTACTTTTGATGCTACTTCTCATGTATTTCAGGTTTTCACTGACTAAAACTTTTATTTTAGACAAACCCACTGACATATGGATGATATGAAGATTAGCACTGGCATTAAAAATGTTTAAGAGCCATTTCACACATAAAGGAAAAAGAAAAAACACAAAATGTTGTTCACAGATACACAGGGACATCTTAACCTAGAGTCAAATGTGAGGCCATATGTCCATGAAATAAAACATCAAAATCTATGAGGGAATGTATGGAAAAGAAAAACAATCAAGTGTCGAAGTGGTTCAGTCGAAGTCCAAACATTAAATTCACTGAAAAGCTGCAGCTGTACTTTAGCAGAGCTATTAATACATGTCTGCAAACTTTAATGAACTGAAGCAATAATGTAAATAGGAGCAACTAATTAACCTACAAGTTGTTCTACAGCCTATTAGGTSTTGAGGTGTACTCTAAGTTCTATTTTAGATTTAATATTCTTTAAAAATAATAACACACTCAGCAATTTGTTGTGCCGTTGCTCATCAGTGGTTGTATTTATTCAACTCTTTGACCTGGTAAAAACAACATGACTTCAAATGCAAAACTGAAAAATTTACAGTCATTTTTATTTGCTTTTTATTAATATAACAATAAATTCTCTTTTTACAAACACAAACTAGTCACAAGTTGAGTATCAGTCTCTGTCGCTGCAGGACTGAATCCTGAAGCATTTTTTTTTAAATTTGATGTTACAAGTAAATTTAATGTTACTGCAATGGTTAAACTGAGTGCTACTTTAGAGATCATTTTTTCAAAGGAAGACTGAAACACAGAAGAGCCCCGGGAATGGTAAAAAGTGGTGCTCGTTATGTCGGTGAAATGAGTAAAATAAATACAGCAGAAAAAAAAGTCCCCTCTCTTTGAAAACCTCTTAGATTCAGCCAATTTAACAAACTTTCATAAAGTGCTCAGCACATCTTTAATTCAAAACAACACATAGAGACGTTTTCTTCTGGTGGTTCGCTGATGTTCTGCTTAAAGATTAATTTGGTTCCACTGCACTTTATTAAAGCACAGACTTTAGTGAGCCATTCCATACAGAGAGCCCATTAGAAAACATAAAGGCGACACAGATGCTGCATATCCCGTTATTCATTTCTGGTTACACATCTCTGCATCTTGGATGGTGCGTAGACTCCTTCCAACGTGCTGAATATCAAAATAAATCAAGGAGGCACAATATATGAGATGCACAAAACACTGAGGCCATCAGTCATGCACCATTACAACAACAGTTTCATCATTCACTGTCACACGTTTGAAACAACCAGACAGTGGTGCAAAAATCATTTCAGGAAGAAACACAGCTCAACAAGTCATTACACTTTTGTCCCATTGGCAATACATTCTCAGTCTTTGATTCCTGAGCATTAAGGTGATGTCTGACAATAAAAAAAATACATAATCACCTCTAAACAATGCTTGTTGTATCTTTTGTCACATTATCAGACATACTGGATGTTTTTATACTTTATATACATTATCTATTTATATATATTTTAAATAAACATATTACAGTCTAGCAAATATATGTATATGTGGGGTATCTAAAAAATATTGAGGAGGTCCTCTGGATTAGTTCTTCTCTTCTCCAAGAGACTTCTATAGTCTGAGGGATTACAGGTAAGCTCAGCCTTACAGTACTTTCCTATGTTGGACAAATAGTTCATGAGGACAGCTAATGCAAAAGAGGACCATCAGCCTAACAATCGTTAGTGCCCTTGTCACCTCCGTGTCCAAATGTCCCCCTCTTACAATGCTGTTATTGTGAGTCATCACTCTGTGAACAATAGGCAACCATCATGGGCGTTAATGATTGTTAGGCTGATGGTCCTCTTTTACAAACAGTTTTTATTGTCATCTTTAAACTTAGTCCACCATGTAAAAGAAATGCTTACAAGGCTGAGTTTACCTGTAGCTTCTCCGAAGAAGATGAAGAAGACAAAGAAGAACCAGTTCAGAGGACCTACTCAACTTTGTTAGATTTTTCTATCTGGATTATTGAGATGGTTTATAAGAAGGTATGTTTATAAGAAAATTGTTTGTGTGTGCTTAAGGTAATGTGAGGTTGTGCATTCAAACAGGCTACATACTGTTAACTGTAGTGGATTTAACTCTGAAATTGTAACTCTTTTTTTAAATAATAAATTTAAAAAATACATACCCCTGTCATAGAAGCCATATCTGGGCTGAAAACAGTTCTAGATCTTGTATGCAAGTTAATACATAAACACAAAAAGATGAAGGTTTTCAAAAGGTTTTGGAAATTATTCAGCGTCTTGCCTTTTGCACATACCACTGCTGAGGTGTCTTTTTTTCCTACATGTTAATAAGTGCAAAGTTAGTTCAGTTATATTTTGAGGAAATTCTCACTTTTTTTCAAGTTTGTTTGCTGCAGGGGATTGGATTGACTTATTTTCAAGCTTTCAACAAAAGTTCTGAATTTGCCTAAACATGAATTTGTGACAACCGTAACAGTACAGCATTCAGTCTCCATCGAAGATTGTGCAAACAGCATTTCACAGCAWCACATTATTTTTCCTTTATGCCCACAGAGTCCATCCTACAACCCAAATATTAAACAGTGTCTTTACAGTTATATGATAACTACCAAGATTTATTTCACTTCACTTCAAAACAGGAGTTGAGGAGTGAAACATTTCAGTCGTTGTGAGGATTGTCGATTTTGTCTGTACCCTTTACCAAAGCTCCTGTCAGAGTCACTTTGCACACAGATGTTTAAGTTTTGATAGTATAAAAACATTCATCGCTAGTTTTCTCAGGGATTTCAAGCAGTATGCTTAAATAAAAGGTGCCAAAAGATGATTGTGACGGCCCTGCTGCTTAGTTAATTGCAGCCAGCTGCCGCCTATTTCCTGATTGTGCTTCCTCACAGGT